ACATTGATTGATTGATTGATTCCTATATTTTTTAGGTGGTGCGACCAGTCTGAAAGTCGAAAACCCATTCATTGCAAGCAAATGTATTGAAGGTTTATGTTACCATCTACGGCTAAATTTACCCTACCAAACGAGAAAAAGAAAAATCAGCACTTGTTGCCAGACGTGTCATGACGCCCTCAGCTAAATCTGATGTGTTATTCCGCGCGAATCCAATTGTGAAAAAGAACTCCAAATTTTCCGTCCACGACGTCCGCAAACCTAGCACAGATGGCAAAAATCCGTAACGTGGTGTCACGTCATGCGCCGTCCACCGCGCCGCGAAAAAAACTGATTCGGTTCGTCGTGTGGATACACGCTAACTACGCAGAATTGTTGATACAAGTAGGCAACTTCATGCCAGTAACAGTGGAGTTCACTCGCCGAAGCTGTCCTGTGAATGAGGTTTGCCTGCGCAAGCGAGTGTTTGCATTAAGGCGATCTACGTTGCATCGTTCGTCGTTGTCGTGTGTATTTTTGTAGTTTTGGGGTTTGGCTTTTAGGCGTATGCATCCTTCTTGCATGCTGCGAAGCGTCAGCGTTAAATACCGATTCTTCACATTGGTTCATGTGCGCTGTGTACGACAAATCTTATCGGTCGTCAGCTAAGCTCACGTGCATGCTTCGTTGTCACACTGTGCATAGTGTTCAAGCGATGCACGGGCAATCATCGGCGAGTTCATCCCATAGGTCACTCGCGTCGCATTTTTCACTGTCATAGCATTTCTTTCGTGCTCCTTCCAGAGCTAATCTTGAACGTTCAACCGCGAACAAAAACGCTACAAGACAGTCGTGAAATAAGTTTGCAGGCCAAGTTGTCTGACGAAAACAAAGGCAATGGAGCGAAAAACAAGTAGAGTACCTGGCGATCATGATGGGGACGGTGCTATACACATTTGAACAGGGCAGGCAGCCAGAAATACGCGGGCGCTCTGATGATGGTAATAGTGGCACTTATGAAGCTAGGCATGACTTCTACAGCCGCGAGAACTTTTTCAAATTGTTATTGGTTATTTTCAAGTGTTGGGAGAGAAAAAGGAGATGAAATTTTATACAGTATTCTGAAACATTCGATATTCTTAAATTCATAGAAGTGAAATATTTCTTTCATTAAACCAATGGACATATGGAGGGGGATTTCTGAAAAATTCCTTCATCTAAAAATTGTTATACAGTCGAGCCAGCTTATAACAAACCTGAGCGTGACGCGGCATCCGTTTGCTGTATCCCGAAGTTCGTAGTAAATGAAACACAGCTTTTAAAAAAAGTTGCGAGTGAAAACACAAACTTTTCTTGCCACAAAAAGTTCATGATGCACGTGTTTCGAAGAGCAGAAGTGAAAAGAGCGGTCTCCAGTTCATTTAAAGCGGCAGAGTGCTCGTTCACCGAGGCCCGTTGCATAAGCTGCATGAGGCACTGGCTCCGAAGTTTCGTCGTTCTCGCAATCCCATTCCTTCAAATCGCTCTCGCCACCTACTTCATGCACAATGCCCCAATCCGTGCACAGTTCCGCAGTGTCGGCATCATCATCATCCATAATTAAACCATCGCAACAGATGTCCCACCCGCTCTCCCAGGTCGGAATCGACGACGCGCTGCCACACATCGCTGCCGCAGTGATCCTGTTCGGAAGCTTCAGGCTCGGCATCGGGCCCGACGTCGACGAAGTCGGCCTCGGGAAAACAGTTTCGTGCGCATGTAGCTGTCCCCGTCGCCCACGAAATATCCACCATCTCCACAGCCAAATACCGGGACGCCCATACCGGCAAGTTGGCTGCCAGGTGGTCAACAGCTATGAGCAAGCGCTACGCAACGCGGCACCTAACGCGCGGATTACGCTCAAGCCAAGCGGTCCCACTTTCGATGTTTTGTTGAGCCACATGAAAAAGCGTGCTAGTCCTCCCGTCGGCCATCATGACTACACACGCACACCAAGAGCGAGCAAGACGCGCACACGCGACGCACAAGCCAGAACGCGTGGAACAGTTCTAGGCCCGTTTCCAGTCAGAAAACGAAACTAACTCGAGACAGCGTGGCGGGCGTCGCGGAGCGGTGGAGACGGGCGAAGGCATTTCCTTCCTCCGTGGACGAAGAAGGGGTTGTGTTCAAGAGAGAAAAGCAGATCTGCGAGAGAAGGGCAAGGAGAGGGGAGGATGCGGCGGGAGGGCAACCTTGAAAACCATAACACACAGGAGGGAGGCAGGTTGGATAGCTCGCTTGAAAGGTCCACGAAACTTGCCCGTAAAAAAACTTGGAAAAAGTGCCTACGCGCGCTGAAGTCAGAGCACGGCCGCCTAGTTCGGTGCGCGCGGCGGTGTTAGAAGAATCGGCGGCCGTGGTCAAAAAATCGTTTTGTTGCGCTGGCAGGTTTGCGTGGCCTCACGAACTTCGATATTTTACGATTCGTTCCGCACAAATTAAAAGCCGTTTTCACGCTTCCGCACTCACGTGGAAGGCTGACGAGCCGAGTGCGAAGTGAGCGAGAACAAGTCATAAGCACGAAACGAATCGCGAATTATCAGAGTCGGTGGGGTAGCGTATGCGCTTGCACTAGACGCAGACTATCAGATACAGTCGGTGGCCGATGATGTAGGCAAATGGTCTGGTCACTCCAGGCTGGCGACGCAGACGACAGTACCAGCGATCAAAAACGGGGGAGGTAGCTGGCCAATCTAGGAAAGATTGGTGGCAGTGTGAAAACACGGGTTCCGTCTGACGATGCGGTGTGCTCAGAGTAGTGGGGGGGGGGGGGCAAAGCATGGAGGGAGGCGTAACAAAAAGCGGTCGGGGCATGGAGGAAGGAAACAGCTTTCCTTCCTCCATGGGTCGGGGAGAGCGGCAACTAGAGGGTCGCGGAGGCAGGGTTGGCGTTTAACAATAAGAATGTATGGGCACCTCACCGATGCCTGATTGGTGGTCGAAATTGGTTTCCCGGGAAGTCGGCAAACTACGTTCGCTGTAACCGATCAGCGGCGCTCGGAGACGTTCGTTGTAAGTGCGATTTTGTGCCATTGAACCAATGTATATTTTCACAGTCACACGGATATTGTTCGTTCTAAGTGAAAGTTCGTTTTAAAGTGGGGCCGTTATATGTGGGCTCGACTGTACTGAGATTTGCTATAACGAGATTTGACTATATATTGGGTTGGAGGTTACAAGAGCCTGTGAAGAAACTGAGCTTTGTTCAAAGCACATCCAAAGTGATAGTATGTGTATTAAGAACAGATATGCATACAAAAGAGATCTGTGATGATCTGCAGTACTTTTGGAATGCAACTCACTTCAACACGTTCTCTAGGTTCATAGAGAATATTGTCAAGAAGGATCGATGGTACCAATTTGCAGTGACATGCAAAGAACCCGACATACAACTAACTGAAGACAACTACCTTGTAGCACGTAACCGCCTTCAGAGCCTTGTACGACTATCGATTAGAAGAGCCTTCTATAACGATACGACCATCCCATCCAACAGTACGCAGACTTGAGACACGCAGAAGTGTTCTCCAAAAAAAAAAAAAAACGCAACGAGGAGCATACATAATGCCACGTTCTTTTCCTCAAGTTTTGTTATCACCCCGTTACACTACATTAGCGCAAACCGCGCCTACGATGTTCGAGAAGCTTCGAGGCTTTAGTAGATCGTTTTGTTAAGATTACGACCACTTCTGGAACGTCACAGATTATTCAGGAACCTACGCCGCCGCTAGCTATAGCGCTAGATTATTCGATGGCAAGGGTATAAATGCCGACAAGCTTCGCCGCTTGTCAGTTAATCGACGGCTGACACTCCGTTCACCGCTATCAGTGCAAGACTGCTACTGTGATCCGACTTTCAATTTACTGGGCCCAGGTTCGCCCAAATAAACAGTTTATTATTCGACTCGCAGTGTGCTCTATTCGCTCACGTCACGAACCCGTGACAGTATTACATGCTGCACCAAGCAGCTATCGGTGAGGACACGCTTAGTACAAAGCTGAGGGTAGTATATGATGCCTCATCGCATGCAAGAGACCAGAAATTGTTGAATGATTGCCTACAAACCAGTCCGAACTTGAAATCTCAACTGCTATAGGTCCTCATGCGATTCCGCGGGTACAAAGTACTAATTGCTATTGACATGAAAGAAGGGTTTCTGCAGGCTGGTGTTGGAGCACAACATACAGATCTTTTCAGGTTCTTGTGGTTTGCTAAGGAGCCGATGTTACCATTAAGGGAAGACAACATACAAGTCTCGCGAATTGTGTCAAGAGTACGTTTCAGATCGACGTCAAGTTCATTCGTGCTTGCAGCAGCCATTCTGCCTCACCTCGAGACGTGTAGACAACCAGCACCAAGAAGTGACCCTAGTATTCATCAAGTCATTCTATGAAGACAATTTGCTGTTTGGAGCAGATAAATGCCACCTCAAAAGAAATAATGAATGATGCTGGAATGCCACTCAGATAATGGACAAGTTGTCAATAGCTGCAGGGCCTATTCGACTCAAGCGAGACAGCTCTACTTAACAGCAACAGATGACGTCATCTAATACAAGAGTGCATCTAATGACATGGCACGTGGTGACCGAAACAACTTTGAAAGACTTCCTACTGGAATTTCGCAGATTTATTGCTAGGAGAAGATTACGATGCGTAATGTATTAAGAAAATGCTCAGTCATTCAAGAAAGCATCCAAGGAGTTTATATTATGTCTAACAAAGAAAACGTGCCCTCAAATTTACATTTTCTTTCATGCTAGATACCAATAACTGTTGCTGTTTATCATAGCACTGTATGATGTTGAATTGTTTTGTGGTGAAACGAACTGCGACTGGTTCGGTTCATGAATTTCGATTATGTACCTCAAGGCAAGCACTGCTGCTGTTCCATCCAGTGCGAGCACGTTAGGACCATCTCTTCTTGTTCGGACTGCAAGCAATGCTTTATATTGTGCGAAAAATGAATAAACAATAAATACCTTCACTGAGCAACTCCTCAAGGCCTACATAGTCATCCTTGAGGAACTGGTCGGAGCCAATGAGAGTGGGCAGAGGCCGTGCCAGGTAGGGGTCCAGAGGTCGCAGCAGGGGCTCCCCAGCATGGTGTGCCTCCTCGGCATCTGAGTCCTCGTCGTCTTCCTCTTCAGAGTCCTGGCGCAAGTCTACCACTTCGAGCGATGAGTGCAGCACCTCCACACCCAGACGAAACGCTTCAGACACCTGGCCCATCAGGGAACTCTCCTCCTCTTTCGAGCCTGCAGGCTGCAAACATCCACACGCATGCGCATATATTAAGAGTCCTTTGAATATTCAAACGAATATAAAAATTCACTTCCACACAGATTTAAATTATTATAAATGAAGGAATAGGCTTCTTTTCTAGACTTACCCTTCCTTCTAACATTGCTTGTCTGATGTTTTTATCTCGTCTTTTTTTTTTGGCACTGCTTATTATTATGAATCCCTACCAACCCGGCTTACCACTCTTTTGAAGGCATAGGGTCGACACATATTTGGGTTGTGCAAAAAAAAAAGACAAGGACAAAAAAGAGTACACAGAACGGTTGCGCCCATCCTGTGTACTCCCTCTCGTCAACGTTTTTTCACGCAACCCAAATACGTGTTCAAGATTGCAACAATTAGCGCAAACTAAAACTTTATGGCAGTGGTTTTCAGCCATGGATGTGTCGGGGGACCCTTTGTCGACTGGTGGAAGTGATGGGGGACCCCTTGCAACGGGGGAGAGGGAGGGGGTACGTAGGTAAATTAACACAGCTGGAGCATGAAACAGGTGTCTTTTATTGCTACCAACAACATCAAACAAACATGCCACCTCACTTCATTCTGGACGGTTCATCAATACGTGGCACAGTCACGCTTAAAGAAAAATGCGGGTGAGGGTTTCGCGGATCATATAAATGGCTTCGCAGACCCCCTAGGGTCCACAGACCACCATTTGAGAACCACTGCTTTACGGCAGAAGGTGGTTTCACTGCAGCGTGCAGCCATAAAAAAAAAATCCCCATTGCCACCAAGACTTATTTCAACGTTAAGTACACATACTACACTTACACCGATGAATACAATATTTAGTCGCATAATAGGTACATCCCCAGCTTGGTCACCATAAATCAAATTTTCTTATTTCCGCGCATGATAGGCGCACCCTGAACTTGGCTGTGAACAGTAATTGCATATCGTATTTGCAATCACAATTTGTACAGTATTTGCGGTTGAAATTTTATGCCCCCCTAAGTTAACTGAAGCGAAACAAAAGGAAAAAATTACACCATTTTACACCAACTGACCATCTACTAAACAAACATTACTTGGTATAGCCTTGCATAGTATCGCATAGCAAGCAGGAAGGAATGGGAAGTGAAGGTGAGTAGTTATGTGATGGTGAGAAGAAGGCTAAAAACAGGTTGCACATACTAATTAGTATTTTTAGACAAACGTAACCGCGTACAGCCTTTTATAGCATCCTATAAAAAGGGAAAAGGAAAGGGGAGGGAAGGGAATGAGATAGGTGGCACACCAATTAAGATTTCTAGACAGACGTAACCTAGAATAGCTTTGTATAGTATCATATAGCAAGGGGGAAGGAATGGAAAATGAAGGTGAGTAGTTATGTGATGGTGAGAAGAAGGCTACAGACAGGTGGCACACACCAATTAAGATTTCTAGACAGACTTAACCGTGTACAGTCTGTTATAGTTTCATATAGGAAGGGTGAAGGAAAGGGGAGGGTTGGTGAGGAGATATGTGAGAGAAAGAAGGCGATCGACAGGTGGCACACACCAACTAAAATTTTTAGACAGACGTAACCTAGTATAGCTTTGTATAGTATCATATAGCAAGGAGGAAGAAATGGGAAGTGAAAGAGGATTAATGTGAGGGTGGGAAGAAGGCAATAAACAGTCGGCAAAAAACCATCTCCCCAATAAGGTTTCTAGACAGATGTAACCTTATAAAGCCTTATATAGTATCACACAGCAGGGAGGAAGGAAAGGGAAGTCAGGTTGAGAAGAAGAAAGCAACGGATTGGCAGCAAACATTTTTTTTCAATAGTTAAAGAAGTGCAAAGTGAATAAACCTGCAATAATCTTCCTTCATTTATCCAGACAATTTTGAGAAAGTCACCAAAAGTTAAGTATGAGTGGGGTGTACGAATCACTGCACTATGAATCGGCTATTTTAAAATCAGCTGCGAACATTGACACCAATAGATTCTTTTTTTGCGATGCCAGTCTCCTCCTGTGCAGTGGAGCCATCATTCAGTGAACTGTGAAGATTAGAAGACATGGCTGCTTCGTATGGTGGGAACCCAAAGTGCACAGCTCAGGCACATTGCAGATCTCACAAATTCCCAGACTTGATAAATACCAGCTCTCACTTTTCAATCTTTGAAAACATCAAAAGCTAGAAAACAGGCTATACTAGTTAAATGCCTACTTTGACTGTCCAGCTGGTCATCTTTTCAAGATATTGCTCCCAATATCTGTCATTAAACTTTTTTATAGCCTCTATTTCATAGCATAGACATACCTATGTTCAATGCCCCTCAGCTGCGGTAACACTGTAGAAATATTGTAGCTGCGATTCAACTGATTTCCGTGAAGACTCAGCAGTACAATACTTGCTTTCAAAATTCTACTCTAGATCATAACTAATTTGTGTATACTAAAAAATATATAATTTATAAAAAATGACCAACACAGAAATATTTGAGCTCCCTTGCAATTCTTTTTCTTTCACCATGACATATGATCATTTGAGTGCACCAACCAAATCACATAAAATTATTAATTATAAAACTTACAAAAGAGCACAAGTGAACAGCACGTACAGCTTAACCTGGATATAACAAAATTGACAAATTCTTGGAAAAATTCGATATAAAGAGGATTTCGTTGCAAGGAGGTTCAGTATGAAAATTCAAAAAATAAATGCACAAATTCTACAAAAGAGTAACTAAAGGCAGAGCTAACACGTAACACTTATTTAGCAGTAAGAAACTGCATAATTATTGCAATAGCAATTATATGCACCCTCTCGGTGGGTTTTTGCTGTCCCCGCCATGTTCTGTAGCAAGTCCAAATTAACAACATGCCCCCGCACATCAGAACTTTGTCAGCGGGTAAAAGCATGCAAGCACTGCTGAAGCAGCGATCATATGAGCAGGCCCATCTCTACCACCTGGAGGGTGCATTCGATAACATCCCCGTGCGGGTTAGTACTGCCCTCGAATGCTCAACCAGAAAGGAAACTACCCATATTGAGCGAGCATGAAAAAAACACAGAGGAAGAGGGGGGGAGGTCGCTCGAGCAGTAATGGTGAACTTTGATTTTAAGGGGGGACTCGCGATCGCTGGTGTACGTGCTGTCTCAGCAAGCATCAGTGTGCCTTCAACGCGAAGAGACTGGAAAGAGCACTCCTTCCTTGAGTGGCCTTATTTGCCTACACCAGCGTTGAAAGAGTTCCGCGATATCAGATACAAAAGAGTAGGCTGCCAGCCTTACTTCATATAACATTATAATTGGTTGCTATCACATTCATTGCATTGTATTCATTGCGTCGTCATGTTGTTGCCAGAGCTAATCAGCTAATCGCAAAGGCTACGATTCTACAAACTCTGGATGCTAATGTAAATACATGACCAGTTGACCTTTGAAGATACGTTGTCACCAAGGTCTCTTGAGGGTTTTCATCAGTGCCTAATCTGACATCGCCTCGGTAGTGATGACACTGTTATCCGCACTAAAAAAAAAACCAAAGCTGAATGTAGAAGCTGAACACCTTGCGTGCGCAGTAAAGCGCGCATGGCATTGAAAACAAAAGGCGAACGAAACAGATACCACAGAAGACTATTCAGTAAAGCAGACTCCATATCCAGAGCGACCCCGGATATGTGATGCTAATTAAAAGCATGGCATCGTCAACGCAAAAGCACTTTTTTTTGTTTTTGTTTTTGGTTTGGAATGGGAGGGCACATCTGCGCATGCGCCCGCGGCGGTAAGAACGGCAGCAGCGTCGGCTCAAGGGGCACAGGCCTGCCTGCCTGCCTTGCGCACACCCGCGCACAATAAGGAGCACTTGCTTTCGCTTGGAAGTTGCCGGGACCGCGAGCGCGCCGCTGGCGCTTCGCGCTTGGTCGGTGGGCAACTGCGCAATATGCATGCTCGCGCCTAAATGATAAACTCTGGGGCAAAATTTCTAGATTGTCCGTTGCGAAAATTCGTTACATCAAGGTTGTCTCCGGCTGTTACTTTGTTACATAAAGGTCACAAATAGATGTGCTTCTATGAAGCAATAGCGGGGAATAAGAATACTTCATTATATCGAGGAATTGTTATATGCAGGTTTGCTATAAGCAGGTTTAACTGTACATAGCTCATTGATCCTACTGAATTCTTTAAATAATGCCTGCATTAGGGGTGCAATTGAGAGTCTCGTATTGTCACGGGGTCATGATGAGGATGAAGGGAGCAAGTTGTAGGTCCAAGATTAACTTTATTTGGCCGAACTCTGCACACAGCCTTTTTGACGGTGTGTGGTAGGAAGGTGGAGATGGCAGTTGTTTTCTGGGAGTCTGGGCGCACTCCAGTCTTGCTGATCACGTCACCTAAAAACAGAAGCTCCTTGTACATGAAGCGGCATTTCTCTGGCTTCAGGGTGAGTCCAGTGTTCTTGATTGCGAATTCAAGGCACTGGAGCTGTTCGACGTAAACTCGACGTAAAAAGAACAAGGTCGTCTAAGTAAACGAGGCAAGTCTGCCACTTCAAGTCAGCCAGAATTGAATCCACGACACGTTGAAAAGTCGCAGATGCTGAGGGAAGACCAAAAGCCATGACCTTGAACTCGAACAGGCCATCCGGTGTTATGCAGGCAGTCATTTCTTGGTCTCTCTCGTCCACTTCGATCTACCAATAGCCGGTCTTGAGGTCCATCTAAGAAAAGCACCTCACATTGTGGAGTCGACCTAGGGCATCGTCTATCCGTGGGAGTGGGTGCATGTCCTTCGTGATTTTGTTCAGGCAATGATAGTCGTTGCAGAAGCATAGTGTACCATCCTTCTTTTTGACTAACACCACGAGTGGCTGTTGTATGGCGCGACCCCTGGTGTCGCGTTCACACACCAGCGTGGTAGAGTTTCCTGTAAATGCCTCTAGGTGGAGCTAAGCTTTCACCAAGACCGTTCTTGGCAACCAACCCTGTGTGTACATGCCATTCATGTGACCAGTGTATCACTGGCCAATC